CGATTCTGATTTGGATTTGTAGGTAAGAAGTAGTTTTTATATTAAAATTATTATTTATGAACGTAACGTTGTTTCAAAGTCAAAGTTTAAACCCTTATACCTACATAACCCGTTTGACACAATGTTCTTACATGACCTTGTGGAAATATAAAACATTTTAGAAAAAATTGCACTTTTTTTACCTTCAGCTGTTTAGAAGTTATAAGCAGGTTAATTAGGTGAAAATATAAGTGTATACTCGAGAAATAACTTCAAAAAATATTTTAACTGTCTACTAAAAGAAGTGGTACGCCTATGGATTACGAACGCTTTATTATTTTAATACTCTCTCATACATAAAAATAGACTATAGTCTGTCATCTCTAAACGTTATTCAAATCTGCTCGTTTTTTGCAAGTCCAACCTTTTAGCGAATTCTGAAATATTGATCTTTTTAGTATCTTAATGGTTTTCCAGTTCTTTGTTGTTAAGTCTTAGTAAGTCACTCTGGTTTTAGGATCGACTTACTTTTTCTTTTAACTGCTGAAAGTATTTTCTTAATTAAATCCATTTTCTTCTGTTGTCTTCTTTCCCTAATCTCATTATTTGTTGAATTCTATTGCAATTTGATGAATGGTTTTGACTAACAGTACCACTTTATATTTTAATTCTGATTTTTCGATAGGTCAATACATTAATAGAATATTCAAAAATGATTTTGATGCTATACTAGACAGTTAAATTATTATTATTATTATCATTTAGCCCAATATTCAACATATTCTGGTAAAAGTATATTTTTTTTTAAATAAAAAATAAAGATCATTAAATAATGACAATACGAAGAGCTTGTGAATGAATTTGAATATATATGCAAGCCGAAAAAGAACTTTTTTCTATATGCCAACGCAATTATTTAAAAATTTTCAGTATATAGTAAATAATCTTTAAACATGTTCAGAATTCAATTAAACGTGGCAGCCCAGAACATTATATAATTTAAAAGCGAAAAGACTTAAGCCTTTATATTTTATGTGTGTTTGAAAGGTCTCCATTGTGAGGTTATGAATGAGGCCCCTCTGATGCCAGGCCTGCACACAAACGGTCATATTTCAATCTCCACGAAATGGATTTTAAACGAGATGCCTTGTTAGTCTCTAGGTGAGAAATTTGTTGTCCTTTGGACTCCCTGTCGGGAGACACCGCACCAGGTTGTAAGATAAAGAACGCAATATCGAAGATTTTCTACATATCGTGAGCAGGTGATCGGTCGTGAAAGAGAGCTTTGTAAATAAGCAACCTGGACGCACAGCGAGTGGCTGATACAACCGCGACACTTGGGTCTCTCCTCTTTTCAGTTTATATTGTCACATAATCATAACTCCCGATTTTAATATGCGTGACATTTCTCTCGGCTTATATCGTTATGATTAATACTAAAGTGGTCGTATTTTTGCTTTATTTTTCTTCGTATGGGGTCCTGCTGGAATTCAAATGATGCTGTCATCCCTTATAACAATAGTTAACAATAACTCGAAAGATAATATCGATTGTAGGCTGGAACTATTGATCGCGTCCAAAAAGTGGTTTTATGCTTTTCTGATGACTTGCATTTTTTTGGATTCTAGTGTCACACAATCTTTAATCGTCAGATTTATAACTTTTATCTACATACCAACTATAGATAGAAACTTTATGATTTACCGCAACGATTAGAAAATTGACACTACGGTTGAAACATTATTTGAAAGACGTTGTTATTGAAAGAAGAGATGGCGAACTTTTTTCATTATATATACCTACTATAATCTAAGAAGAGAAATGCGAAAAACATTATTCCAACAAGAAAAATATAATAAGTTAAAAGTCTTACTCAGATTTTATTTTTACACATATTTACAAATTGTAAGTTTACATTCACAATTTTTGTAGATAAGCACTAATATGGCATCATGCCGAAAATGCTTTGCATTTAATAATTAAAAAAATTTTACACCAAATACGTCTTTCCTTTTTAATCTAAACTACGTGCACACAGCCGTCAACCTTTTTTGGTTATTTTAATGTAATAAGTATTATAGCACATGGAAATCGTACCAAAAAGGTGTTGCTCCCTTACATCAAATGAGGTAGTTCTGATTTTTTTATGAGTTGGTAGTGATAAAATGGGTAATAATAAATCCAAGTTTTCCACCTCGAAAGCCCTTCGGATCACAGTTAAATACTTGAAAATTAATTAAAATTTAGGAGTTTTTCTGTTTTTGTCAATTTTTACCACCAAGGACCTACGTTACGGCAAAAGTTACTATGGACACTTTTTAAGTAGACCAATGTTTGCAATTAAATGAGAATAATTTGGTTTTGGTAGGCCAATTAGTTTTTAAGGTACGGCTATTTAAAAGTTTACTAAATTAAAAAAAGGCAATATTACAGTTTTTTCGATAATTTTTACCCCTAAGAAGTGGGTTTATTGGAAAAGTTAATTTTTTTAGTTATTAAAGTTCACTAAATTCCCAACAAAATGAGACCAATTATATAAAATTACACCTGATAATTCCTGAGACACAGCTGTTCAAAGTTGTTGAGGTAAATAAACAATTATGTAATTTGCTTTTTGTAGACCAGATATTTGCAAAATTACAAAAAAAAAGGAAGTATTACAATCTTTTTTTTAGTTGTCTTTTAGATTTTTACTGAAAGTTTATTTTGTTTTTATTTTTATGTATAACATAACGTAAATATTATAACAGAATTTATTTGCAACTAATATCACGGAAGAAACAATATAACAAAAACCTATGTCACCCATTTGATATTCAAATTAACATGCTAACGCCAGTACCCCGTGGGTGTTGTATTGGAAGAAACAACCATTGCTTCAGTTGCTCAGAACAAGTTCCTATTGAATGACAGAAATAAAGTTCATCGACATATTCAAGGTTCACCTGGAAAAGAACAAAATTTTAACCTTACAAGCAGAGGAAGATGCTGATATGTTAATAGTAACCACAGCCATTTCCATATCTTCTTCCTACGAAGTAGTAAAGATCGTCGGCGAAGATATAGATTTATTAGTCGTACTTTGTGGTTTATCACGAGATGGAGGAGACCACATCCTTCCAACAAATAGACCAAATAACAATATTATATTTGTAAAATGTGGAAGAGGAAAAACCCAGATGTCATCTACTCGACAAATTCCTTTACGCAATTAGCACAACCCGGAATATCACTGTTTCTTCACGCGTTTAGCGGTTGTGATATAACATTAGCACCTTTTGGCCAAGGAAAAAAGAAATTTCTTTCGACAGTCACGCCTCGAACAAAATGCACAGGTTTCCTTGAGCTCCAATGCCACACCTGAGCAAGTTGCCGACGAAGAAGAGATCTTCCTCGTTTCACTTTATAGAAACAACAGAGAATCGCAAAATCTTAGCGACCTTCGTTTCCAGTTATTCACTAGGGCAGCAGTTTTAAGCTCAACATGAACCTCGCTATATTGCCTCAAACCAAGGATGCTGCGAAAATACCACCAGGTGAGGACCAGTTTTTTGCTTGTACTCCTTTCTGCTTCAGGTCACTTTCTTTATTCTTGGTTCCTTATTTTGTTGTTGATTTTGTTTTAGGTACAGAAGTGGCTGGGAAATGAGAAGAATCCTCTCGACGGGGGTTGGATGCGGAATACACAAGGCCTCGTTCCTCAACAGATGACGGCACCACCAGTTCCTCAAGCTCTGCTAAATATTATTTTATGTAACTGTAAAAAAGATTGTATCAGCAGTTGTAGTTCCAGGAAAACAGGACTGAAATGATCAGCTGTTTGCAGCTACTGCACTGGCCAATCTTGCGAGAACATACCTGACCTGATGTGTGATGACATTGATGAACCATTCATTAATGACACACCATCAAATGACGATTTCGGCCTTTGTGAGCAGTTCGATGAAGAAATTCTACCTTAGCAAGCTGCCCCTAAAAGGTGTGCTGTGGATTCAGAGGACGAGCCTGGTTCATCAAAAATATACAAAAAATGCGAGTAATAACTATTTCCTTAAATGTGCTGTACATAAAATATAATGAGGCGTTTCATTACATTTTTCATATTAATATTTTAATTAGTAAAATGTTTATTTTAATAAATTAATTATAATGCTTATTTCACTAACAGGGCGTACTTCATTTTGCAAACCCTTCGAGTACATAATTGCTTACTTACCTCAACAACTTTGATCCGCTGTGTCTCAGGAACTGTCAGGTGTAAGTTGATATAATTTTGTTGGGAATTTAGTGGACTTTAATAACTAAAACCAGCAACTTTTCCAATAAACCCACTACTTAGGAATAAAAATTGTCAAAAACTAAAAAAATTGTAATACTTCCTTTTTTTTGAAATTTTGCAAACTTTTGAATAGCCGTATCTTAAAAACTATTTGGTTTACCAAAAACAAATTATTCTCATTTAATTGCAAATTTAGTCTACTTAAAAAGTGTCAATTATTGTAACTTTTGTCGTAACGTAGGTCCTTGGTGGTAAAAATTGACAAAAACGGAAAAACTCCTAAATTTTAATAAATTTTCAGGTATTTAACTGTGATCCGAAGGGCTTTCGAGGTGGAATACTTGGATTTTTCATAACGAATTTCATCACTACCAAGTCATAAAAAAATCAGAACTACCTCATTTGATGTGAGGCAAAAAGTACCAATTCCATGGACTATATGATCATTTGAATAAAATTATAAATTGTTTTAGTAAAAAAATGGAATTGGATAGGCCTAGGGTAATTCATTAGAAATTGGTATAATAATGGTAATACTTACTGAGATACAGGATGTTCAATTTAAAAAAACAATACAGTAATGTTATTGTTTCCCATATAACCATAAAAGTTATTCTCATACTTATTTTATCTTTATAAAATGCTCATACATTTTTTAAACTTTGTGGTATTTTTTACCTTTGATTATTAGTCAACCGTAAGTATAAGACCATTGTTAGTGATATAATGAAAAACTACTAACCTGTCCATTTTTATCCATTTCGTTATTAGTAAGTTTCACTTTCTCGAAAGACACCACTTGTTTCCTGAGTTGCTCTCCAGAGTAAGGAGAGTCTGGATGCGCGTAGAGCCTATTGGGTGCGGGTGGATCGGCTTTTCCGGCAACTAACCATGATGACCGGTGGTACGCGTATCGGTACCTTTTGTTGTCTACCGGTACAACGTCTAGCAGTACTGCATACCTTTGGTCCGATCGAATACCGGTAAAGGATACCCTTAATGTGGGAAACATTCTCCTGTAACAAAAAAAAAAAACTATTTAGTATCATATAAATCATTGTTTCTCAAACTTTTTGAAAAACGAAATAATTGACGGAGCCATAAACCCATTTCTACAAAAAAAAAAGAAAAGGTCCTTCAAGCAAAATCATATCCTCCTTCCTCTTAGTACTCAAGCCAGGTCCCTCCCTTTTGTGGCGATAGTACTGCTTTTTTTATTATGACTATTATTTCCTTCGCGAAGCCCCCAACAAAGGCTTTGCGGAACCCCAGGGCTTCGCGGAGCACACTTTGAGTATCACTGATATAAATAATTCAACTTTAAGTAACGCAACTAAGTTGTACTCATTGAAACAATAATTTTATTAATATAGAAATAGAGCACCAAATCAATATTACAGTCTAAGTTTTGTAACTTGACATTCAAGTTTAAATTACAATGCAACCAGGTCTTAACATCTGTTCGACAACAGCGATGTACAGCTACAGAGAGATTAAACTTTTTATGCTTGTTGTTTTTACCCAACAAACTTATGCCGTTTGTGGATCTTGAACAATAGTAATGGTGTGTGAATGAACCAGGTAAGACCTAAATTTATTTTCTCTTTTAAAATGTTACTTTATTCTTATTCAATAAATCTTTTGTAAGTTGATCAAATTTTATTTAAATTGACTTCCCAGAATATTTCTCAGACAGAAAACCTCTAAACAAATTTAAAATATCTTATAGTTAAAAAACAACAAATATGCAATTATTATACTTGTAATTTTTTGTGGTGTCATGAAATTATTTTATAATTTTGAATTTCCATCTAAATTTTAAAATTTCTGCTCGTAAAATAATACTAGAATTATTTTAGTTAACCAAATACATTAAACTTATACTCTTCCTTTTTTTGTTATTTTATTTGTACTAATTTTAAACCCTAAAAATGACTGGCTCTTTCTGATGGGACAAAAATTAATAAAAGGACTTCCAACCTTAATGAGATTGTAAAAATGCATAACTCGATGATGATTATGCAGATTTTCGTGAAAATGACTTAACAACTATAAGTACAGATTGCTAATCACCAATTTCAGTTCCACAACGTTGCTTTTGGCTCTTTACCTTTACTTCCGGTCTCAACCTAATTAAGAATTCCAACATACAACTCCGTTAACTAAAATTCGTTTAAACACTCATTATTATTAATATCTTAATGAGAAATGACTTGGATATGCTAATGTAGAACAAACAAAAGAAACTGCTGGTAGTTTACTTGTCGCCTTTTTGCAGTGATAATTTAAAGTGTGTCTGAGTTGTTTCGGTTTTGTTCTGGTGCTTGCAAAAACGTTTCTTAATGGTTTGTTTGCTTTATTGGCACTTTAAATTCTAATAGAAATGATTAATTACGACGTAAGAATAATTAAGCTGACAATCAACTGAATAATAGTATTTTGAATAAAAAAATGGAGATATGAAGTCCATGTGGCAAAATAAATTCGAGTTTTATCGTATACTTAGTCTACGACTCACATCAAATTTTAAAAAAATGTAATTTTCTTAACTTACAGCAGCTGTACCTTTTTAGATCTTTTAAAAACAACAGTCAAGTCAAGTTTGAAAACGGAATTGACAGTAAAAAAGTTTTTCCATTTTCTTTATTTTTGCTCACTATTTTGACACACAAACGAGAAACAAGAATCACAGAGGTTATGTTTTTAACTCTGTTTTATTTGATTTGACTCAATGTTCTTTTGTGACGTCATCACTTCTCGGTCTCCTTGGCGTTCGCTCGAACGAGTTTCAAATCAAGCGACCCTTATTTCGGCAGTATCTAGTTGAACAAATAATATTGCCAAATATGAAGGTCAAAAAATGTCGGATACACTGGAAAACACCGTTGTTTGCATTTTCGGGTAAATTGTCAGTGCTTTGGCTTTAGTTGGGATTTATAAAAATAGTTTATTCTGCCTTCTTGAGAATTTTAGTGAGTGTCTTGCATTTTTGTCGTATTTTTCTAAATTCTTTTCTTGTGGTTATTATTTAATCCAGACGACGTTGTGGAGACCTTTTCGCGATGTTTCTGATATTCTATGGCGGAGGCATCAGAATTTTTAAATAAAGACTTGCATCCTGAAACCCAAAGACTTATTTAAAATATTTACACTTGCTTGAAAAGTAAAATGGCGTAGGACCTCACAAAACGAAATTTTAAAAAGGATTTGTGAGCTGACTAAACTTCCTCGCACTACAATTTATACTGTTATTAGAGAAAAAGATGTCATTGATCATTCCGTAAAACGAAAAGAGATAATCAGAAGCTTAAGAAGGTTGATAATGCCGACAAAGAAGTTATACGCCGAGTTGTAAAAAAGTTTTACGAAGAAAACAAGGTTGCAACTTTTAAAATGGTTCGTAACAAGTTACGAGATTATCCCGATATGATCGCCAGTCTCTTTGAAAAGTGGTTTAATGAACAACTGCTGCCAAATCGTTTCCCAAATTCTGTTATTGTTATGGACAATGCGCCTTATCATTTTTGTCTACATAACAAAATTCCCACAGCACAAAGAAGGAAGACATTCCTAAATTCATGGAAAGTGAAATTTGGAAAGTCCTAGAATGACTACCAAAAAAGTGTTTAAAAAGAATATGTAATCGACAAGATATGGAAAGCCCATGGTCATACTATTCTACATCTTCCTGCCTATTACTGCGAATTCAATCCAACAGAGATAATTTAGGATGCTGTTAAAAAAACCTGAGATAATATAATCAATCTCCAACTGACAGTGCGTCCGTACTAGGAAATATACGAATGATTATTAATTAAGTAAACAACAGTGGAAAATGGATAAAATGTACCCAGCATGTCATAGAAAAGTAGAATAAATATTGTATTTTACCTTCCAAATACCCCATTATTATAATCCTAAATTCAGATTCAAGCTCTGAAAATTTAGATAATGACTCATTCTCTTGGTATTCTCTTGGTATTTTTTTGACATTACTCTATATTTCTAATAAAATAAATATCCGCGTAGGTATATGAAAAATAAAAAATTAATTTTGAAAAAATTATATCACGTTGCCCATGCTATACAAAGAAGCCGCCGACGGTCGATAGATGGGCTTATGCCCACTTCGTACGGTCCCATTTCGTACTACGACCCTTAAATGTCCCACTTCGTACGGCGTTCCAAATGTTTACCTATGACTAGTCTCATTTCGTACGACGTATTATACTAAACCAGTCACGAATGTTAAGAGCCCCGCATACCGCCTGATCAATTCAAATGCGGGATTTGCTGGTTGTGTGGTCTTTTTATTTATATATTATTATTATATTATTATTTATATATATATATATATATATATATATATATATATATACAGAAATACTGAAAAATTCTATTCAAATTTTACAACGTACTGCAATTTTTCTAAACATGATCCAACAGATTTTCTTCCTTCTATAAAATCACTGACTGTTTCCTGTATTGCACAATCAAGATCCCTGTATATCTTTCTTCGTTTTGAAGGTGTTAAATGTAAATCAGCCCGTTGTTTAAGAAATCCTGAATGTACAGAGTCTTCTTTCAATCCTTTGATAAGTTCTAATAAATTGGGGTTATATTTGCCAATTGCTCGGTTCAATTTGCTATGCCATGCTTCTAGGCTATTAGTTGTTCTATGTTTTTCCATAAAACAAATCCAACTTTCTCCAATTACGTCGTTTTCCAACCACTGGTCAACAAAATAATCAGTGAAGCGTCGTACATCTGAATTATCTGGACAGTGTTTCATGATATATAAGAATCCATCTTCTACGGCATCAGATGGTAGATACGATAATGCTGCACATAACCGAACATGCCTTCGTATTTCTTCATTTTCTCGGTATAAAACCGACAGGCCTTAAACAAAAATACATAACATTAGTGTTTCATTTTGACGAAAATAGACTCATTTCAGAATAGTATATTATACATATAACTGGCAATAACTTTTGTAATAAAAAAAATTTAACGCGTCATTTCGATATCGTTTTCTATAATAAGTATAGAAGACTCCCAAATTTGGCAAAAGTATATGAGTAAATTAGACATTTTTTAACTGGAAAAACAGATGGTTTTTTTGATTTTGAGACCCAATAACCCTTAAAAAGATAATTTTACTAATGTTATGTTTACATGTAGTTTAAAAAAAAAAAAAAAAAGTAAAGCATTCTGTATAAAATCTAGCGTATATTTAACCCCAAAAAACTGTGTTATTTAGTTTATATAGAAATTTCAAACAAATTCAGTTTGGTCATCTAATTTTTTATAATTTTTTTGGAATATTACTCAATTCATAACTACTTTATTAAATAATTTAATTTACGTACCTAATTCTTGAATTTTTCTCCAAAGAGATTGGTTGAAATGGAAATTACACCCCGTAGCTACAGAGCCTGGAAATATTTTTCCAATTGCCTGCATAGCTCCTATTTCAAAATCCGTTTTGAATCGTTGTGGCTGCCATTGAGGTATTTTCAATTTGATACATGAAAACAGTCGCTCGTAGGTAGTCTGTTTTCGATCAGGCATTAAAGCATATACAACTGGTATAATATTTGTTGCATCAAGAGTGCTGCCTAAATCTGCATGTATGGTATACAATTGACTAAAAAGTTTATTACAACATTTGAAAGTTCCATCCGCAAAAAAGTTGCTCAATTCTTTTAAGCATTGACGACCATACTTGCTGCAGAAAGCTAATATACGGTCTTCTCCATCCCCATCATCAATAATTAAAAAATCATCTGCTAACTCTTGTGGAATTATTACATCACTTCTGCTTGGAAAACTGGAAAAGCCTAATGCTCGTTGACGATTTCTATATAAAGAGCTCTTCTTGTTTAAAAAAAGAGGTACTTTTGTGACAAAATCTAAACCAGCATCTTTCAATTCGGAGAATTCCTCATTAAATATTTTTGGTAATGGAATTAATTCTTTTCGGGCCCTTTTCTTGCATTTATCAAAGCACTTT